ATGAAAGATGCAGCCTACAGTTCCTGAGGAAGTGGATGACTTTTGGAATTGGGAATCACAATGTGCATAGGTATGGTGCTGTGCAAAAGCATACCTCCTAGCAGCTTGTGCAGTGGTTGTGTGGTAGGGGAGGTTCCCAAGTTAGTTTGTTCTCTATTATGAAGACCAAATATGTGTATATGCATTTAAAAAACAATTAAGACATCTAATGGAGTGAGAAAATAATGTTTTACTCCCTGGTTTGGTATGTGCGTTGCCAGTGGAATGACCAGACACTAACAGGAAAGCTGAGTGTGCGCAGCAGTGAGGTGGATTTCTTGTTTACGTATTACTGCTTACTCAAACGCTGTTCAAAGAATTGCTGGCTTGGAGTAATGGTGATGGTTTGGAGTGACTTCTGTGTTCGTAAGGCACTTGAGATTGGTAACTCAAAGGGCAACAAAGGTGCTGCTTTACTGAGCATTGAGCTTATTTTAACAATTTACAACCTGCTAATATGAACAGAATATTATATATATATCATATATATATTGAGATATATAAAATATCTCAATAGAAAATGTAGTAACTCTATCTTCTGTATAATGTATTATATGACTACAGTAAGTATCTAATTTGCTTTACTGCTAATTTTAATTATGAGTAGGACTGCAGAGTGTGAAGGAGTCTGTGTACTTACTCTATGGAGGAGTCCTCGCGCAGGACCTTCACACAGTGAGAATTGGTATCGTACCAGTTTGAGAGATCTTACATAAATGTTTAAAAAAAAGTTAAAAATGCTTTGAATTATTATTAAAATAATAAAGAAGGATTATCTCACATCCAAAATCTGTCTTCTGGCAAAAATTAGGTTGGAGAGAAATGCTCGAGAAAGCATTTAATATCCTACATATAACTATAGTGTTACGCACTGATCATGTACTTCTGACTGGTTTCAATTATTGTTTTCTTTCCTGAATCACAGTGCTTCACTTGGAATAATTTTCTTTGTGGTAGTATAGTCTAGCTGAGTTAAATGCCAGTGCAATTTTTAGTGGTTTGGTTGCTTTTTAAAGGTAACCATAGTCCCTTCCTCTGAATCCTCAATTTAAAAGAAGGGATTGATGACAGTGTGGCTTACTCATTGCATCACCTGATGAAGGGATACCTGGTATGTCAGGTAAATAACTCCACGGTCCCTCTTGCTCAAAAAGTATGCAGTCTAGATATGGTAGAGCAGTGGAGCAAGTCATGGAGGTCTTGGGAGTGGTTTGTAGACTTTTGGACTTGTAGGTAAATATTTAAACCACGAGAACTAATTGTGGGGTGAAGGGTGGGTGCAGGCCTGGGACTGTGTACAGCTTCTGCCAGGTCTGATCCAGTTGGAGTTCTTTGTGTAGGTAAGCCTTCGTTACTGCTGGCTGAGCGTCCCCGAGGAGAGTCCAGGAAAAGCCCTCAAGCCTCTCAAGATAACTACTGGGATGGGAAATTTTACTGTAGATCTTTTTCTTTGTTATATACAATGTCTCTAGTTTTTGTGCTCTGTCATTTCTGCCTTTGCTGTGTGCATCTCAGTAACAGCTGTCACACTTGTTGCTTACCAAAAAATTACTTTACTGAGTGATAGTGGGGAGAGATTAGGGCTTGGCAAAGTTCATATCAGCAACAGATATTAAGTAGAAGTTCCTATTGTTTATTTATTTTTATAATTAAAAAAAAAAATCTAACCCTATACAATATGTATTTCTTGTCCAATGTTAGAAGTTTCTGCAAAAGAAAAACATGGTGAACATTGTGGACGATGTGCAATAATTACAACACTCACTTTTCCTATTATTACTTTTTAACTGTTAAAGCTGCAAATTGAAAAATAAAGTGGTTCCTGTATTTATCTTCAACCTTTTAGCCGTGCTGAAAGAGCTTACGTGAGGTTGCTGTTTATTGTGTTCAGTCATTCAGAATGTTGCTGTATTCTTGTCATTCTTGCCCATACTGTTCTGCTCTAATAGATAGTGATTTAGCAGTCAGTTGTTCAGCCGTGTTAAACTAGCCCTAGAGATAAAAATGGTTGATGTCCAGAGGTGACTTTCTTTTTCAACTTCGGAACGGGAAGGGGAATCACTAGCATGCATTAGTAATAACATCTTGAAATTCTCTTGTAAACAAGAAGAGCATCTTCACCTCAAGACTTGTTCCAAAATTGTACGATGGTGTAAAAATAATTTTTCAATTCTCTTTTCCTAGTTGCCTACTAGGAAAATTGTTTACTACGTTGGAAGAGGTGCATTTTGGACAAGAAGGAAGTTAGAATTCCCGGCTTCACTGTGTGTTCTAATCTTGGTGTTCAGAGCACTGTCCTTATCAGGAGTGAATTATATTTTCCTTGCATATCCATATGTGGAACAATATTTGCTTATTGCTTTGTATCAGATGTGCTTATTTTTTGATAACCATTATTTTGGACATTTCCATGAAGTAGGCAATTTTATTTTGAAAGAAATCGGGTTATTAGTTTATAAAAGAAATACAATAGAATTGAAAAAATATGTGAGAATTGGTAGAAATATTTGAAAGCAAAGTGTTATCGTTGTACATCAAATCTTTAATTAGGGTACTAAAATGTTACATTTTTGTCCAGAAGCAGTTATTTTAACAGACCTCTTTCTGAGCTTGCATGTAATCTTTTTAACGATTAAGGATTAATACAGCCTGCAAGGTACAGCAGTTACTGAGCCTTGCTGCTGCGGCTGTGGTTAAATATGTATATGCTTTTTGAAAGGGAGATATACTCTTGTCCTTAAATATACTTCTAAAAAGAGTACGTATGGCACCTCTAACCACATTCCATAAAATAAAATACCTAGCCCCTTTACATATGGCAAAAGATAGGGTTTTATGCTGTGCAGCAGATGCTTCTACAGAAATTCGGGGTCCCTGTGTGCCCATTGCTTGGGAGGGTCATCGTAACCGCCCTCCTGTTAATACTGCAGCGTTTCAGGGCAGAGATGCTAAGCTAAGCTGAGTCGTCGATCGCAGCATATGTTGTGAAAGGCTGAGGAGGCCCTTCTTGTGCTGAAAGAGCGAAGCGTGGGTTTGGGTTCAACAGACCAAGGTGAAAAAATGTGGCTGCGTCGAGTAACGAGGGGAAAGCTTGTGTGCTCCTGGTGGGGTCACTGTCCCGTGCTCCTCTCAAGGAACTCTACTAAGAGGTAACTGTGTTCTGCACCAACTGTTTCTGAGTGTCCCTTCACCCTTGGGGAGACCAAATTATATGCTGGATCAAGATCACAAATCCGTAACTGATTCCACACAATCAGTAAACTGGGAAGTCAGAAGTAACATGGATTATGAAGGGATTTCCAAGCAAATTGCTTTCCCTGCTGCCTTGCTTCAAGTTTCTCCCAGCACTCACGTGCAGTCCACTCAAAAGAGTTTTCTGACTCCAGTGATAATTTGGCTTCAAATTACTTAACTTCCCTCAAAATATCTTGTATTGTAGTTCTAAATTTTGGACAGTTGCCACAGAAATCTTGAGATCTGTGTCATATGAAGAGACTGTGGGGTAGTCTGGAGTTTCTTTACGGAAACGTGATTATCCCAGAGCTTAATATTCTCTCCTGATCACATATTTTTCAGTAACAAAAACCTTTGCTCAAAGTGGCTTTTAGAAAGTGGGATTTTGTAAATTGTTTGGGGTTTTTTTCCTGTGGAAAGAAATTCCTTCATTATCTTGTTTTGACCAGAAAATATCTTTATTTATGTATTCACATAATCATATATACATTTTTTTTCTTTCTCTGAAAATTTGCTGTACTGTACTTGGCTACACTGTGAGATGCGTCAGATGTACAAGTTGAATTTTAATACATAAATAAATAAAAATTCATCATAAATATGTCGGGGGGGGGAAATGAATTGAAGGGAGCCATTATTAGAAAGAGAGAACAACGAAGGTGACTTTGCTATTTTGGCTACTACACTTGGGATAATCCCTTTCAGTGTTGCACAAGGATCCCAGTGTAATTCCAAGCAAATAGGCCTTGAACATCCACATATTGAAATCACTAAATAGGTTTCTATATTTACGTTGGAACAATATTGCTTCTAATTAAAAACTCTCTTACTAGAGCACCCGGTGCTCAAAGAGTCAGGTTAACATAACCTGAGCTGAGCTGGCAGTTGAAGAAGAGAAAAATGCTCTTTGTTTTAGCTTTCTAACTAGGCACTGGTTTACTCTGGATATAAAAGTTCCTGATGTTAAATTGTTTGTCATTCTTGTGGGCATATGTTAAGCATTTGGGGTTTTCTACTTCCTGTTTTTAAGATGAAAGCTGAAACTCTTTAGATGCTAAAGATCATTTAAGTCTCGGTTATCTGTAGGGAAAAGTCCAATTATTTTTATTTATCGTGGCATTGATACCATCTGGGTAAAAACCAGCTGAGTCCATGAAGACTGTGGTGCTGCAAAAACACAGTTTTTCTTTTTTTGGAGGGGGGTTTGGGGATGTTGGGTGTGTTTTTGCCGCAGACTGCCTGTACAGCAGGTACACGGCGATACAGCCCGAGTTCCCACGGCACGCTGAGCCCCCGTTCACCAACCTGGCGCAGAGCAAAGGCAGCGTTTCTGCGAGCCAGCCTGGATCCAGCAGCGTGCCTGGCTAGCGGCCCCCTTCCCCAAGCCCAGCGCGCCTGGGCAGGCACGGCGGGGAGCACGTGAGGAGCTTTGTGCGGCCCAGAGCGGGTCTGGCCGCACTGATGACTCTGGCTTGATGCTGGTCATGCCAGACGCAGGTCATCTGGGCATCGTCACCGGGTGACCTTGCTGTGTGAGTTCTTCTGTTACGGCGTGTCGTGGAAAACGGGTTGTGCTGCTTCATTCCTTTGACGTCACTCTAAAAAAGCAGGGATGCTTCATTGTGCTGCGATGACTTGTACCATATGCTCAATAATGGTATTATCTAAATTAATTTAGTGGGAGCAGCAATGCATTTTCCAAATTTTTGTTTCTTCTTAACTTCCAGGTTTTCCGAAAGAAGGCGGTAGAGCTTGGAGAGAAATTGCTACCTGCTTTCAACACTCCTACTGGGATACCTTGGGCGTTGCTTAATATTAAGAGGTAAAACAACTGGAACGTATAAAAAAGTTATGTAGAAACATCTTCACCACAGAACTATTACAACTGCTGCACAGTTTCTGTCTTTTCAGCTAGGTAAAAGTTGATGTAAGATCCTTGGTTCTACAGTTTACGTTAGGAAATTTAAGTATACATTGTGCATACAAGAATGCATATAGTAATATATGTATTCACCTCAAAGGTGAACAAGGCAGCTTTTTTGTCACTTAGTATGTTGCTCATCGCTTTTCCTGAAGTCCTCTATTGTTTTTAGTGTTGTTATAAGTAGGGTAGGAGCAAAAGGACATGTGCTACTCTGAAAAGGTAAGGTTTCTAGCCACTATGTACTCTTATTTTCACCTGTTCTCAAAAGTAGTATCAGCATGTCCTTCAGTAGCATATCAAGAAAGAAGAGTAATACCTGCCACAACTGACTCGCTGTTTTGCACCCTCTCCCAAGGAGTGGTTTTGCTTTGGCCAGTTGTGCTTTGAAGGCAGCTGCATGTTTGCTGTAGGAGATGCATGCTCTCCTGATGTCACTCTGGCCTCCAGTATCTGACTCCAGACCTTGGAGTCAGCAGTTGCTGAATTGTCAGCAATTCCTTGGTCTGCCCCTCAGGCCTGCTAGCACTGTTGCTGGTAATGAAAATGTTGTTTTGCACTGCCTGGGGAAGAATATTGGAAGTTACACCTGTGGGTTATATTTGTATATTCATGAGGACACATCAGCTTTCTTTATCCTGCAGATAAACCCCAGCACCACCTGTCACAAGAAAGTGAATTAAGGAGCATTTCACATGTGCATACGTTGGTGTTGTGTTGTGGGGTTTTTTGCCAGCATCTTCCTCTGCTTTCTGCTTGAGCTGTGTTTATGGGTATGCCTTTTCCCAAGTGGGACGTACATTGGCGCGCTTGCTTGCTTGGCTGTGTTTGCTTCAGGCTTCCCAGCAAACTGCCCAGAGCCAGTCCTACAGAAACCCCCGGTTCAGACAGGCTTATCTTCCACCTTCCTTTCACAGAGAAGTGAGGCAGGAGGCAAAAAGCACATCTGTGTGCAGGAGCAGGAGGGACTTAGTGCCTCCTGAGCTTTCTCCTCGTTGAAGCGGCTGATTAATTGCTGCCTGGTGATGGTCCTCGGGCTTTGACTGGTTATTTGCGTGCATGCTAACGCTTTCTTCTCAGCAGACTTTAGTGAGTTCTGCACAAGTTCAATAGCACAACGGCTTGAGGTTTGTTTCCTATTTGTTTTTAAGCTGTTAGAAAAACTTGTGAGTATGAAACCCTAGCATCTGTTCATAATTGCAGTACAACAGTACCTTATTCTACATAGTGTACATAAATATATTCAAGGGATTTAGGCTAAAAATTTGTCTTATATGTAGCCCTTGTCTAAATCCCTGCTTATCTACTAAATATATCAATGTTTTTTGCAAATAGTTCAAATTCTGTGGTAGGTCTTCATGGTTTTGTTCCTAACTTCTCACAACAACTGCCATGGTGCACTACTAATGTCAGCCACAAACACTACAAGATGGTGATGCAAAAGGGATTAATTTCCTATCTTGCACCAAAGTGGAAGAGGATTTCTGCCAAGATAACTTCCTTTGCTGTGGCAGAAAAAGTTACATTAAATACAAGGTTCTTGGTTTTTTCATTCTGAATCCTTGTGCATCTGTCTAGATTTGACCTTCAATAGATGACTCTTCCATAATACTGTGCGTAAACAAATATGCTGTCATCCAGGCTTAGGAAATGCTAAGCCACTGAAGCCTGCATATATTACAGATCTAATATGCCTCATTTCTGATTAGTATTTTATTTGATTTTATTTTGATTTGTGCTTCAAATTGGAGGACACTCACAATAGATTGTGGGTGTCAGTGATTATTTTTAAATTACTATTTTTGGATAAACAGATGAGCTGGATATTTGTTTCACTTTGCAAATGTTCTTCACAAAATAGTTTGTTTTCTCTGCTCGTCCTGTATCATCATAGCCAGACTTCCTCTCTCCTTGGGTGCCTCTGTGTGTAAACATCTAGATGTGCTTTTGTCTGAGCGTGTCCTTACATACCAAAGGCATACACCTGAAGTCTTGTACTCTTTGTCTTCTCCATCGTTTTTCTTCATACTGCTGCTTTCCTCATGACTTAATGACCATGGGACACTTACTGTCTTATTTCTGGAACCCTAATTATCAAATATATTAAAACCTTCACTGTACTATTCTTCAGCTAAAATTATTCGTCAATTCTTGAGTGTGTTTGCTTGTGAAATTTTGTCTCAAGTACAGTTTAAGTACTTAGATTGATAGTTTGTACTGGGATTTCCTTTTCTTTCTTTCTAAATGTTTCAGTTTCATTTCTGTATTTCTGATGTTCTTGATACTGCTCTGTATCTTCAGTTCATCTTCAGCATCTGTTTTTCACTTCTGCTTATACTGCCAAATTTGAAGTTCCTTTTACAGCTCACTTGCTTATTTGAGTAACCAGTGTTGTGTAGCGCTTGTTGACTATTCTGGCTGAAAACGTTGGTACAAAGACAGGCTGCAGGGGGGAAAATGTGTATAAAGCAGTGGTGGCTTGACAGACAAGTTTGAATCTTCTTTTGGGAATAAGGAGCACAAGCTGGCAAAGCCACTTAGTATTTATGTACTTTCTTACCTATTTATTTTCCTCCCTCACCCAAATACTTTGTTTAGATATTTCATCTTCAGTACTTCTAAAACAGCAACTAGAACAGCTTAAAATACCACTAGTTCATGATCCTTTATTTTTCTTCTCAGTAAGCCATGGCAATCTGGCTTCTACAGGCTAAAATTTTCATTTTGCTTTCTCCCTAAAAACTTCAAGTTATAACTGAGCAATCAGATTTCTTGTGTATTTCTGCAATATGCCTCTCAGATTTATAGAAATAAAAAAATCTGATATAACTTTTTTACTGAGTTAAGTAATCTTAAAAAATATCCAGCTTGCATCATGTTCACAGGATCAAGTCACATTTTTAATGTGTCTATTTATTTTTTACACCTTGTAACTATTAAAAAGGAAGCTGTATGAGGCTTGTGTTTATGGGATGACACCCAGCTGTGAAATACAGAGAAGAAGCAGGATTGTTGTTAGTCTGTTGGATCAATCAGGAATAAACTTCTGACTATAAGATCCTGTACAATATTTTTTCTCTTTTGGTTGGAAATTGTCTCCTTATGTCACTTTTTCCCCCTTTGAAAGCAGACTTGTATCTTTTTTTAGTCACTCTTCTTTCCAGTAAGACCACATTACTACTTTCTAATAAGCAACCCAAAAGCTTCTGGGTTTTCTTTATATGAAAGAATCTATTTTCCATAAAATGTTTGTGCTCTATACATTGACCAGTTGAATAGTTTTTAAGGTTATTTATTATCCCTTGTGTGCTACTACATAGCAATACTGTTAGACATTAAGGTGCCTGGCTTTTTATGAAGAATCAATGTATCGTATAAACTTTAAGTGCATCTGAAGCTTTGAAAAATAGTTACGCCTTACCTTAATGAAAAAGTTTTCGACTGGCCTAAATAATATTTTTATTTCTGAAAACAGAACAAACTGGAAATGGTTTTTTTGGATGTCCAGCCTGTTTGCAAATGTTGTTGTCGCTAAGGAGGATACTGTGCTTGTTCCACTGGTACAGTGACAGAAGTAAATAATGTAAGCATTTACGGATGTAGGGACCACAGGAAGTTCTGTATAGGTGGACAAGCTACGAGGTATGGGTGGAGTGGGTCAGAGCAGGGAAGCTTAACAGAAGTCAAAAAGGACGCGTTTGAAATAAATTTGATTAATTTGTATTAAAATCAAGCCACAGGGAGTGATAAGATATACTTGACATAAACGTAAAATGTTTACTGTGTCGGATGTCAGCGTACGATTTTTTGCCTTTTATGCTTCAGCATTGATTATACATAAACAGTGGACCTGAATAGAATTCAATATTACATATTCTATGAAATGAGTTAGCAGAGGGCTTGCTAAATTGTTCGAACAAAGTAGTTAACTCATTTGTAGTTAACTGAGGATGGAAGTGACAAAACTGCAATATTTATGCTATTGGGATGTTGTCAGCATGATTTGAAAGCAAGGTCGTCTTTTTTTTTTTAATTATTTTTTTTTAAATTATGACATTTTGTACAGAATATTTAAATTATGCCACAGGCCTTTCCAGGCCCACCAGCCTGGTTTGCCCAACAGAGCCTGGCGGCTTTTGCGAGGGATTTTATGTTAAAATGCCACAGCGACACAGGCACAGGTTTTGTTCCCTTCTGGGGCACACACTCTGATGTTTCAGAGTACTGGCAATATTTTAGGTTGTGGGCATTTAAAGGAACTTACCTGTCAGGAACTTCTGCCTAGGAGGAAATGTGGCTGATAAACCAACCACTGAGGTATCAAATGTTGGTCTTCGAGCAATGGAAATTGCTTGAAAATATTTTGAAAATTCAAAGTAATACTCAGTTTCAGAACATGTTTAAGGTCTCATGTACCTAAATCACTTGAGGAACAGATGGCCTTCAAAATGTCTTTGGTGTCCTACCTCATTAGAAGAACTCTAGTATTCTTAAGAAAAGATGTAAATCTTCGAGTATAACAGAATGGTTCTCTGAGTTCTGGGACGACTTCTAAAACAGCATAATCAATGCACTTAAGAGGATATTCCTTTATCATTTGCACAGGAATCTTAAAGCACTGGGAAAGTTTGAAAATGTAAAGAAAGGGTCCAAACACGGAAATTCTGTAAATGTTTTTGGACAGCTTAGTTCCTTCACTTACGCTATCAGAAATGCCTGAAATATGAATGTTGCATTATTTTGCAACATTTTCCTAAGCATCAAGTTGACTGTATGATATCACTTTCTTTACAAGAATTAGCGATTCATGATTTTACTTGTTCTAGTGACTCAGCAAGCACTCATTGTCATTGTAGGACCATGCAGAAGATGTGCTTAGATGGAATCTTTAATATTAACCC